GAGCGCATTTTTCACATCTGGCCCGGTCTGGACAGGTCCAAGGGCTACTGCATGAACTATCTCGCGTTTAATTTGCTGAAAGGCTTGTTGTTGCTCAGGGCCCCATTTAAAATCATTCTTCTTCAGGGTCACGCGATAGAGAGCGCTTACAATCAATTGTAATTCAGGATGTGCAGAACGCATCCAGAGTCCCACAACACCCAAGAAAGCTTGTGTTTCTTTCTTATTAATTGGTGGAGACATTGCTGTTATCTTGTTGATCACATCCATTGGTATCTGACGATGTTCATCTTGACATTTTATTCCCCAAAACTGATCGCCTGTGCAGGTCCCTTGACCTTTGTTTCATGGCAAAACCAGCTTTCAGAAGGATTTGGATTATTTTTTTCTCTTTCCCAAAAACTTCTTGCACTATATAGTCCCACATGATAATGTCATCAATGCATTGCAGGTGTTCTGGAGCTTGCCCCTGTCCCAGTGCAGTCTGGATCAGTCAATGGCAGACGGTAGGACTGTGTTTCCACCCCTGGGGCAGTCAGTTCCAAGTGTACTGGAGGCCCCTCCAAGTAAAAGCAAACTGTGGCCTGCACTCTGCTGCCAAAAGAACTGAGAAAAATGCATTGGCAATATCAGTTGTGGCATACCACTTGGCTGCCTTTGACTCCAATTCATATTGAAGTTCTAGCATGTCCAGTACAGCAGCGCTCAATGGTGGTGTGACTTAATTCAGGCCATGATATTCTGCTGTTAGTCTCCACTCTCCATTAGACTTTCACACTGGCCATATGGGGCTATGAAAGGGTGAGAAGGTCCTCTCCAGTTCCAGCTGACAAATCAGCTTATGGATAAGAATGAGGGAGTCCCAGTGCAATATTGCAGCCAGCCCACCAGTGTGGTTGTGATTGGCACTTGTTCTTTCTACTTAAGCAATCCCACAATAGAAGCACAGCACTGTACCAGCTACGAGGAAGGAAATTAACTCTACCCCAGCTGAAACCAAGACACATGATCACCTTTACTACTTAAGTAGTTCTACTTCCTCTCCGGCTAACATGCTAAACTTGCAATTTACAGCATGAGAGCTGAGAAGATAGAAACCAAAACCACAAAAGACAAGACAAATTTGGCATAACACTTCTAGGAAGGCCAAGTGAAAATGCTGACGAAACATGCTAGGCAGTTCCTCAGGCATTTGCAATTTGCTATTAGCTATATGAGCTCTCATATAAAACCTGTTCTTTTAAGATGACAATTACAGCAGCATGGCCAGCTTGATCTACTCTCCAAATATGAAACACTTAATTTAAGAAATGCAGGAAAGCTATTTAATGGGAAGAACATAAAGAGAAGCCATATGGGGACTTACCTGATTAGTAACCTTCACATATTCATTTTCTAGCAGATGCAAATGCAAGCAGTAGGCTTAGAATTATACGAGGCAGTATATGCACAGCTAATTTAAAGACTCAAATAAGACAAGATTTGGATTTAGTGCTATTTTTTCCAGCAGAAAAGAGCTGGCAAAGGGCTAGGAGAACAAAGGGTGAGGGTAGATGGTTAGTCAGAGAACCTAAACCCAAGCATGCATATAAAGAGTCTCTAACAGACATTAGATCAAGCCAATTCAACCCAACTATTATCTTGATTCTCCACTTTCTCTTGATTGAAAAATTAGTTAGATTCTTGTCTACAAGGGTGGGGGAGAAGGGGGAAAGGTCGAATTCCTTGCCTGAACATACCACTCTGGTGAGATGTGTTAGTTCTAAATGTAGCAGCAGATATGAACCACCATTTCCAGAAGCAGTCTTTTCTCTTTTTCTTTTCATGAAAAGGGGCTGGATTTTGGAAAGGAACAAAGGCATTCAGCATTAAACCCAGTTGTGCAACAACATCTGCCAGGAGCCCTGGGAATTCATCAGTCAGCAGCTCTACCCAGAGAACTCTCATAAACTGCAGGTCTGTAGCTAGTCCTAATTATGACAGCAGAAGAACGCTGAATCTAGGAGGACACTATTGAAGAATCTCAATCCAAAGACTGTACTGAGAATATTAAGGTTTATACTGCATCATTTCCCATTTTTATCACGTCACACAAGAGATTTAGAAACTGTTGTACTCTGTTGTTTTTACTGTATCTGTTACTGGAATGAGACACCAAAGCGTAATGCCAAGTGCAGTTTGTGAAAGATAGTAATACACCAAACTCCTTCATATTTTATAAGTCAATTTGCCAGGCTCTCCGGTATGTTCATACAGGTTGCAACAGCTGTAAAAGGGAACAAAAGTAGTTGGCCATTCTTATCACAGGGTAAAGCGTTGCATGACAGATCTTCCACAGAATAGATGTCATTACTCAGGATATATTTGTGACACAACTATATAAACTGAATAGCAGGTAATGGTGCAAACATAACACATTATGGTTATCATTTTAATACTGCATTAGTGAGATATTTAAAAAATGCAATATTTATGGGTGTGCATATATTACACACCTGCAAATATATACTTTCATACCAGGAAAGTCAAAATTCCTCCCTATCTTAGGTGAGGAAAGGCGAGGACAGACCATATGCAGTGCTAATACAGGAGACTCCTCTGCCAAAGAACAGGGAGAGAAAGAGAGGGCAAAGTAAAGACTTTATTTCTTGGGTCTAAGGTGCATAATTGCTGCTGTGGACAGTATCTAGTCTGGAGACTGCCATGGTTGAAAAGTGAATTGCCTTCATGTTACAGCATTCCTGCTCAGGGTCTCATTAGGCATGTTTTGCAAAGCAAAGCTGGAATATGTCCTCTATACAAAAAAGCCACTGGAACTCTACTCCAAATCTTTGCAGAAACCAAAACCAGAATTATGTTCTTACGTTCTTAGAGATATTAAAAAAAAAAAACTTAAAAAAAACATAAACCCCAAATGTTCAGAAACAATTGCCAGGAGTTTTGTATTTATTTGTTTGTTTGATGGTGGTCTGTGCCTAATAAACAATGCATCCTCCTAAGCCATTCAATTAAATTGAAACCAAACAAAGGACCAAAATCCATCCATCTCTCTCAACCCCCATTCACAGGAAAACTTTGATCTGTCACACTGGCAGTAAAATCAAAGAAAAGCCCAACCAAAAGCATTCCTATCACTCCACTGCTTTACTTGGATTCTGCTAGTTAAACTCCACTCAAGTAATCAGTTACCATTTATTGGTCCATTTATCTCCTAGTCTTTTTAGTGGAGTATCTCTACAATCAAATACAAAAATAGAACACTGTAACTCAGTAAGAGCAGTGCAAACACTGTCAGAAAGGGACTGTGCTATTTGAAGGTCAAGTAAAACAGCATTTGGAGTCAAAAACCTGCCATATTGTGCTACCATTACTGAGGTTTGTGTTCTCCATTACATTGAAATTTAGCTACAGTTGCTCTGGAATTTCTGCTCATTTACACCAGAGTAAATCAGCAAAGGTTTTGGATCATAGGAATTAAGTTCATTGATGACTAAGCTTCATCACAGAGGGATACCTGCACAGTCTTTAATCTAGGAGAGAGTTTAGTTCTTTCTTTATATATAAACTCTAGATCTTAGATGATACAATTTTCTGGTTTTTCAGTGAATCATGGTTTGAAGTTTGCCTAATTCTACCACAGCATGCATCTCATGTAATGGTATCCCCTGCAGACAAAATTTCTACCCAAAGTACAAGGCTATTTCAGAAAGAAACCACTCTTATTTGCCTGAATTGGTTGGTATGGTACTTAAATAGCCACATTCACCTAGTGATTTCTCTAAATGCTTGTTTTCAAATGTTTTAAATTATTTATGGTTGTGTTAAAGTTAGAAAAAGGTTAGGTGAGTACAGAACACATAACATTTAGAAAAGATTCATATCAATCACTTTCAAATGAGGAGTAGGTAAAACAACAGGCATATTAAAAGCTGTACCACCAATTTCTATTTCTAGGACTACTAGTACTATTTTAGTTAGGTGCAGAGGCATTGAAGTAAGAGAAAATAAATAAAAACCAAACAAATAAAACCACAAAACCAAACCCAAAACCACACAAACCCAAGGAATAGAGGGACTGTGTAAATCCTCAGATGGCTTTGACAATTAAATGTATTAATTTTCAGATAAGCTACAGACTTTGGCCATGATATGTGATAGGAAAAGGAAGAGAATTTAGCAAGGGAAGAGAAGAATTACTAGTGCATTAAGCAGCTCTGTTCCAGTCTGATGGAACCATGTGTTTTTACTGGCCGTCTGGCATATCAGGTTAATATGAGACTGTATCAAAAGAGGAAACTAAAAGTTAGTATCAATGAATGTGTACAAATATGAGTGTGCATTTAATGAAACAGTAGAGCAAAAGCCAATGTCCTGCATCACTACTAAATAACTACTGGAAATAAATTACTTTGATAAATAGTTTCATAGGTCTTAAGTATCACAAGTCTCTACTAGTTTAAGTGCTTCCACAGACAAATGGATTTTGTTCAAAGGTTATTCATCTTTCCAGGCTATCCCCATTCTCTGGCACAGCACATTGTCTTTTACCATTATGCTGAATTCAGTACCCTGAAACCAGCCAGAATCCAGGTATCTTTCATCTTTTGCATATTTCACAGAGAGTCTTAATCTGTTGAGTGTTTTAATTCCTAGTACAGCAGAATTTGGACACCATATTTTATATTGCAAATGAGTAGGTAAGAGCACTCAGTCCAGAAAAGGGAAACCTTGTCTGAGTAGAGCTGCAAATTTGATTCCCAGCTCTTCCCTTCACTAGAGTGCTCTGGCAATGACACTAAATTACCCTTAAGCTGTGAGCACAGCCTACCTTCTGCAGGAATCTGTACTACAGCATGCCACAAAAAAAAAAGGTAAGGTAGGTGGAACCAAAAGAACGTATCTGCATGCTCATGGTTAGCACATGAGTGCATTCTTTTCTCTGATCAATCATGCCTGTATTTTACCTTTAAGTGAAATTGAAGTGAAATGGGAGTCATTACCTTCACTTTCAGTCCAAAGGTGAATGGAAATCCCTTTGCAGGCTGTACAGGGCTGCAAATCCCAGACAGCTCTCTGCAGTCTTTAGCCATTTGGGGAAACAAGACTGAAGAGTCTTTTGAACATCTGTCAGATACCTATCTGCAGCTTAAAACACCTAATGACCTCACAAATAATCTAACCTAAAGTTCTAAATATTCCAAAAAGCGGGAATATTGCAGAGCCTCTTTCAAGCAGGAACCAAAACCATAAAAAAAACCCCAAACCTAATCCTTTGAGCCTCATAAACTTTCTAAGGAAATTAACTGTCCTGTAATCCTGCTGGTAGAAAATGAGTGTAAGTTGCAAACAGTATTCCAAAGCACAGTAGCAAGGGTAATTGGCTTCCCCCTCCATCCCAAAGTTCTTGACCTTCTGCTCCTTATTAGGGACATAAAACATTGGGAAAACAGTTACATTTGTCATATTCCTTGTAAAATTATACAAATAGAAACTGAAATGGTTTGGAGTCAGTAAAGGGAGTTTGAAAGGCTCCCTGTAGGAAATGCCTAAGAAAAGAAATCTTTAAATCCCCTTAAGTAATTCTAGCAATAGCCGCATGCACTTGTACAATGTACTTCAAAGTATTAAAATTTTAACCAGGTGCAATTATAAACAAAGCTGTAAAATTTAAAGATGATAACACATCTGTTGCTGTTCTGATATTTAAATCACAGATCCTGGTGAAAATAACAGTAATGATACAAACACCTGACTTTAGAGACATTCTGAATCCTACTTTTCTCCCTACAATTAATTACTGACCATAAAGCTCCCTTTGAGAAAGCATATTGTCCCTCCCTACACATTGTTACTCATAAGGCTTGCTCCATCTGATTCTAGAGATAATTCAAATTTAAATTCAGGATCCCAGAAAGGAGACCATAATACCGGGTAAGTCCTACTTCTATTGACAAATATTTGTACCTTGCTGCTAAGAGAGAACAGTTCTGCAAACTTCAAGTCCTAGGATCTAAGAGGTAAACAACCTTAGGCAGCACCTGACAGCATATTTCAGGTGTACATATTAATACAGGAATTAATCTTGCCTCTGATAAGAGTGTAAGAAAGTTATATTGATACTAATATTTTAATTCAATTTATAACATTAAAATAACTGGAGTGTCAGCACAGAAATGCTGACAAAAATTCAGCAAAATTCTAATACAGTGTCTCTTGTGAATTTTCATGCTGTACATCATCAATGAAAGAAACATACCAGTTGCTATAAGAGAACATGAGAGAGGACTCCAGTTGAGAGTGTAAGAGTAATTGCTACTTCAATCCACCACTCTTGAGTAATTTTCAATAGTCAGTCAGCTTCTCTGTCTTCAGAAGCAATAAAGTAAGCAAAAATAACTGAACCTGTACTTTTTCTTGCAAGTGCCTACTAGTTCTACATATATAGTTGTCCTATACTATGTATATATAGAACATGTATAGTTCTGCAAGTATAACTTTAATTGCAATGAAGGATAATACAGGTGCTTAGCACGGTATGTGGTAGACAAATAATACTTTAATGAAGAGAGAAATTACCAGCAATGTCATCTCACAGAAAATGTCAAAATACTTAGGGAACCCACAAAAAAGGCCTGAGCACAGTTGTGACCTCTATAGGAAGCATATTAGCAGAGTCCTCACACTTATATTTCTTTCATACTCTTTATTAATTTTCTGTCTTTATCAGTGATTTGAGTGTAGAAAATGTGTTATGTTTCTTCATAAAATGTCCCATTTCTGTCTCCTGCCCACTGCCATGCATAAAATTACTCACTTAAGCAATTAGCAGCACAAATTTTGCTCTTTAAAAATCGGGCATATTTGAAATCTCACAAAGAAATTCCATAGAAGACACATTTGCTAATGATGATTTAGGAATGAATCCCGAGAAACAGAAATTATCTAATTTCATTGTAACTTGTTCTTTGTCAAAGAAAAAAAGTATTTTCAGCAAACAAAATACATTTAATCTCCATATTCATAATTTGGCTTGTGAAAACTTACCTTCATTTCTTTGAGAGGCTGGGCAATTCCAAGTGTAGAAGCAAATATAAGATGGCAAGAGGACTTATTGAAGTTTTTTAGAAAAATAATTTTTCAACAAACTTTGATATCCAGGTTCTTTGACCAGTTTAAATGTACAGAAATCTTTCCAGAATACAACTAACAGCATTTATTTATTTATTACTATTAACTTTTTTATCAGACAACTTCTTTATTTTCTGATTATGAAACAAGTGTTTGGCACATCAAAGGCTAATTAAGAGTTTTAGGAATTTTTTCAATATCCCATATTGAAATAAATTAATAAATCTGTCTTGTGCAGACACTTTCAAATATAATTTACAAATACATTAGACTGCTTAGGTAACACAGCTCATATTCTTAAATAGACAGAAGATCTTTTTGCTACATGGAAGACCTATCCATAACAACTGCTCTTGTGCTGCAAGGACTCACAGCTCCTGGAGACTGCGGTTACAGACCTCCAGCATAGCAACATTCTTCTTGTCTAGCCTTGTAATTTTTTGCCAGGTACTCTGTACATTAGTTGTTTCATTTCAATTGCCCTAAGGGTTTCTTTCTCAGTAACTAATGGGGAGCTTGATGCATCATTACATTAACGTAGCACAATGTGGTAAAGCTGTAGGATTCTCTAGTAAAGAAATTAATGGCTCTGTTCTTAATAGATTAGTTCTCACAATATTTAGTCACACATCAGCAAGACCTTTATATTTAAAATGTTATTTAAAAAAAGATACTTTACTGGGTTCAAATCCTTTCTAGAAAATAAAGGGTAATTGCAAACACAGTTTATCTGTACAAACAAAGAAAAAAATGGAGACAGGGTGAAGCTATGAAATTGCTTCAGAAAAAAACCCACAGAACACTATATATTAATAAATGTCAAGAACAGATTTGTTGTATTTATTTTTTTTAATAGCCTAATTAAACTGAAACAGCATATGAGACCTTCCGGGGAGCATGTGTGTGACAATCCTTACAGTTCAACAAATCTAGAATTTTTTGAAGATGCAGAGGTTGTGCACTGTTGTTGGTTCTGTAAGGCCCTGATCAGAAACTTCAGAATGGCTTATGAATCATTTCACAGTCATTTTTACAGAGCTGAGGCAGTTCAGATAAAAGCTGCTAGACTGTAGACAAATCTTATTCTGTATGCGTTCTTATTGACTCAATTCCCAGACTACATGCTTTTCTATGTATTTTGCATATTCTTTGTTTAAAGTTTTTAATTATCATATCCAGGTTTTCTTCTCACAGTAATCCCAACAGGGAGAGTCTATCTTAAAAGATGTTTTACTGATAGTTCTTTTCCTCTTCAGCTCTGTATGTTGAGATAACTATTTAGGTATCTGCTGTTACCTCAGGCTATTCACTATGTACCTTGATCTATTTGAATTTTACTTAACATCCTCCAGCAGTTTCCTCATTGTCTTTGGTGCATCTCTGCCTATGACCTTCTGTCTAAATCTTAAAGAGCTCCTGGGTTATTGATGTATTATTGTTATGCTTTTACAGACATAATTGATGGCATTTAGAACAGTTCTGTGATAGCTGCTAAGTCCTACAACTGATCAAGAGCCAGAAAATGAGAAGGACATAGCATCAACATCATGATCAAAGTCTCAGTCCCTTATTTCTTAGCGTGTTCACTACAACAAGAATCTAGATGTACAGTACATTGAATACCATGCACTAGTTCTTACTTCTTGGCAAAAAAGGTGATAATCCTTGTACTAAATTAGACTTCCTCCCCAGAATTTTTTTTTTTACAATGCATTTGATTTCTTCTGAAAACTTGAGCCCTTATCTATGCCTGGGAAAGAAAAATTAGTCATTTAAGTAGTTGAAAGCAATAAATATCAAATACATTAGTAACATGCTTGGCAATGTTAGTAACATGTTTGGTAATGTTAGTAATATGTTTAGTAATTTACCTCTCCATGCCATTCCCAGGGGAGCCCTCCTATGCACTGTGGTCCAGTGCACCGGAAATCCTGGCTGTATGTTCGACTTGTTACAGCTCTTTGGGGAATTCATCTGTCTTCTGAATTTCCTTTTACAAAGTATGTGAGGATCTGTGTTGGACAAAAATATTGGTTAGTATTTCAGCAATTATACACAAAAATATAATGATATAAAGTCTCCCTTGTGTAAAGGGGCTGATCTGGTCCCAGTAAAATCAATAAAGTTTTGTTATTGACCTTGCTTGGAGTAGAATTGATCTCTAAAGGCAACAAATGCATTGAATTAGATTAGTAAATTCCTGTTCCCACGACCAAGTTGAAAGACAAATGAGTAGTTAAGTGAGAGTCTGGTTACAATATCACATCACAGGGCTTCCTGGTTATTTTCTTGTGGAATTCACACACTGGAATTTCAAAGACAATATTCTCCCATCAATATGCACGGGAGTTTTATATAAAATATAAACACAAATTCCAAATACGAAGATCGTAAATCTGTTTCAGATCAAAAGGAACCTAAAATTCAAAGTTAAAGACACCCTGTTTTGGAGTCTGTGTCAAGATCAACTGATCTCTTGACTGAGAGTTTCACACAGTTTTGCCTAAATACATTGGAAAATATATTCTAGCAGGATTGAGTATTTAATTTCAATATGTTTTCAGAAATTCAGATTATATCTTGATTAATGAAGCTTTTCTTGATTAATGAAGCATTGCAGAAAGCATCTGTGGGAGCATGCTACATTAAAAGCAAGAAGCTTTTAATACAGACTTTAAGTGGATATTTATACAAGTCTTAAGTCTTGCATGATCCATTTATATGCACAGGTTAGAAATTGTGGCATTTCCTTTTTGTCGTGGTCTCACATGTCTGCTCTGTGATTACACATCACAGTCAAGTGGTTCTCAGAATGACTCTACAGAAAAGATGACTTATAATGCAATAAGTTATGTGCCACAGAAGGCAACATATTTTAAAACATAGACTATGTGAAAAAGCATCTTTACTTTAATTTGTTGTCTCATGCCAAGGACAGAAGCACCTTCGTTGGTAAAGATATCAATTATGCATTGTTTATATATATAGATATATGGATAGATGTTAATACATAATAGTATAATGAAATGACATGATTCTTGTGTTCATAAAATTCCTCTTACAGTGAACTCATTGGCAAGCAAGTACTTTGCCAATATGAGCTCTTCAGTGGACAAATTCTTAATGATGGAAAGTAGGCTAACACTTTAAAATTCTGTTTGCATATGACTTTATTTTCCTTCTCCCCTTTCCTTAAACTGGTATATTACCATTTTTTCTCAAAAATGACTACCAAAACTTGGGTCCTACAGAGAAGATAAGCCAGTGCAAAGCACTTAAATTTCTAAACAAACAGCCTGAACTCAATGTAAAAATTACCTTTTTGATTTGAGAACTTTGTTGAGAATTTAACATGGCATACATAAAATCTTTGTTGTCAGCAGCCAAGCAGTTCAGAGTTAGTTCTGTAATTCCAGTGTGGGACCTAAAGTGCACACAGGAAGCTGGATTCAATTTTTCACTTAATTCCAGAAGTTACCCATTATCCTTCCTTACTGAGTAAAAGGGGTTACTTTTCCTTGGCAAGCTCCTTGGTATGCGGAGCTAAAATTGGGTCTCAGTCACAAAAGACCTGTCAGTAGACATTAAATTTTCTAATTACAACTGAACTTGTTATTGAGCAAGTAATTTTTAAACTATGAATGACACAAGTCAAAATCCATTCTTAAAATAACCCTAAATGAAACACATAGCCCAATATAGCCTCATCATTTTGCTACTGTCTCATGCATGCAGTGTCCAGTATGAGCCATAATTGAGACTTGTGAAATGATAAACTCAATATTTTTCGGCTTTATGGGAGATGCGGCTAGAAGCAACACATGAAAAATAAAACCATCTAATCAAGATTATATATTTTAAAAGACAACAATTTTAGCCCATGGGGGTTTATTTATCAATAACAATTTCAGTGAAACCCAGCACAAAAAGCAGATCTTTAATATCAATAGCACAAAATGCCACCTTGCTAATGAAGACATATTAGTTTATTGATTAGTTCTGCAAGAATGGTTATATTAGTTTTGCTTTCAGTTGCTCATATATGGATGAGTTCTTCAATTTTACTTCATCTGCATGCAGAGACTCATAAAAATGGTTGTAATGGTTTTCTTACAGCCTGTCTCCCCATCTCCCGTCTTTCTTACAGCCTATATTTCCCCCTAGCTGAGTCCTGCTGTACTTGGTATGCATTAGGTAAGCACAGGCAGAATAAAGTAGACTAATATTTAGCGTATGGAAAACCAGTTCACCTAAATCAAGTGTGGGTTCAGCAAAGGTAAATTGGTAACCTCTCCCTTAGCACTTCTACGGCTTCTTTAGCTATGCCCTTCTGGAAAAAAAAAAAAAAGTCTTTAATGAGTAAGTACATATGAATAATAGGATGGGTCTAATAGCAGTATGTCCCAAATGACTGTATATGCCTACCCAGTGTTCTGATGAACAGACAGATATTTGAAAGGACTGCTTTTTATTATTCTGGGAGGGAATAATAATACAAACACACACATATATGTATATCTATAGTGTATAGGATTTGATCTTCACAGCTCTTTCCAATCTTTCATAATTTTCTCAATGAGGAACACTACCCCATCAAGGCAAATAAATGGTGGCCAAGCTCCACTCTTCTTCAGTCTACTGAAAAGGATCTGGGCTGCCATAAATGCACATACGCCATAAATGCACATACTTCCACAGCATCAGGCACCAAGAATTGCCAAGCAAATGAATATCATTAAAATCTCACTCGGGTCCTTTAGATCATTTCATTAGGACAGCCCTTCAAATTATTTGATCCATAAATGTTTGCCTGTTCTCTTTATGACAAAACCACCCATCTCTAAAAAGCTTTCAAATTAAGACTGTGCGGTAACTTAACTTCTCAGAAAGCAAGTTGAACAATCTTGGGCTCTTGGAACTGGGAGGAATGTACAACCTTCAAAGAGAATGAATGAAATAAGTTTTAATATACACATGGCTTCTAAACGAGCTTTGATTTTTCTCTTTTTTTCAGATTGGTTTCTTATATTGATATGGACAAGATGCGAAGTTCACAGCCTGATCCTTCTCGAAACCTACGAAATTTCAGAGTTGTGCAGGTTCAGGGTTTGGTTTTGTCTGATTTCTAGAAGAAAATATCAGAAGACTTTTTCTTCAGTTAAGAATAGCTGTTTCTGTTACTACTACTGTCAATGACAAATTCAGATATTTGTACCTTTATAAATGAAAAAGCCTGTAAAAAATCAGCTTTCCTCAAGAGTTTATTCTTAATATTTTTCTTACTGAAATCTGCAGAGGAAAACAAGAGGGAACAGCTTTTAATTACAGTATGTTTTCTTGCATGTTGACCACTTCTGATTTTCCTGCCTGTGGGCTATCTGAGAACTAGCAAGAGAGGATATCCTACATTCCAAAACAAAACAAAATGAAAAAAAAAAATAAAAAAGAACCAAAACAAAAATAGAGTTCAGTGCAGAACTGTATTGTACAAAACACAGTGTACCAAATTTCGGCATATAAGCAGAATTTCTTCTGTCTTTATTTAAAAGCATATGCACTTCTCTGTAATGATGCACAGAACTGTTCTAGGAAAATAAAGCCTGCACACTGCTTCTGCCTCCATTGGGACCAACAGGAACAGATTTCTTCCTCTATTTTAGTCATTGCCAGATGACTCTAAAGTTCTCATCTCAGTCAGTCAGACTGAATATAAGTACACAGGTGTATAGAGAAGTAGAGAGATTCCTATAGTTCTTCCTATAGGCCATTTCAAATCATCTACCTATTTCTCACGTCAATACTCTTGTTCAATCTTCAATTAAAAAAAAAAAAAATGGGCTGAGGAAATAGGACAGAACATGATGAAATCCCCATTAGTACTGTGACAGTTGACCACCAATAACTGCTGCAGATTAAACAGCTATCTAGCCAATTTTGTATGATTCTGTAGCAGTCTCATTGGATTCTGGTTCTCTGGCTTGCTTAGGAGGGCATCACAAGAGACAAATAACTAACCAATTGCAAGTTATCTGGCACCTGCCTTTTCTTTCTTGTGCACAAGGCATGATACAAACAGAAAATCTTAAACCCAAGGTGGCTTCAACACAATTTACAAATATTCTCTTTGGATTTTATTTTTGGTGTGTTTTACGAAGTTGCCATTAAGCTGATCCCTCTAAAAATCCCCTGAATTTTCTAGTTTTCCCCATTTCAAAGACACGCATCAAATTTGTCTTTTCAATTTTTTTTTTTTTTATTAATTAACCTATAGTCCATACTAAGTTTGAACAATAACTACTGGCAGCTCTGAGTCTGTTTCACCTAAGGATCCATGTACTTTAGAATCACTTCAAATCTATGTGAATAAATGGCCTTATATTCAAAGAGGAACTATTTATTTTGGTATCCTTCAAAGTCCCACCACATATTTAGCTATCTAGTACAAATCTGACCCAGGAATTAAATCAGAACTGTTGGGACACACTGCTTTATTCCTTGCTTTGTGATTTAACCCCAGCTGGTAACTAAGTACCACACAGCTGCTCACTTAACCCTAACACCTCCTCCCCCACATTTTATTAGAAAAGTAATAAAACAGACAATCTTATTGTTAAAGCAAATTTTAGAGAGAAATCAACACAGAAGCCATCATGTTTTCTGAAATATTTAAGTGAATATAGGCAGAATAACTTTTGCATTTTTTTATACAAGTTCAGTATTAAACTAAATGTGATAAGGGCAAATGCTTAGCGAGACTGTTCTGTCCAAGCCTACCTAGAAATGCCTGCTTAAATAAAATTTTTCACCGACGAAGTAGCTATCTGCCTTAATCGTTCACTCAAGTTATCAGCATGCTAACACAAAGGCAAAATATTAACATTAATATTTATCTTCTTTTTACTACATGACTTCAGAATCCAGAATAGCCTATTTCAAATATGTCAATAATATATAAACTTAGATCTGTTAGTCTACCTCCAGAAAGACAGTGCAAGCCCTCAAGGGGTTAGTTACATTATGCCAGCTAGAAGAAATAGAAGGAACTATTTTGAATATCCACACAATTTATTAGAAAATACTATTCTGTCTATAGTACTCTAAACCTAGAAGTGGAGGACCCATGACCTTTTTCCCTGGACAATAAATACCCGGATAAAAATTTATTTTTATCCCAGAAGAGAGCACTTAAAAACCCCCCATACCCTGTAAAAATAAAATTTATTATGTTTGTGCAGTCATCTGCTATTACAGACACCATGGTCTAGTGTAAGGCATCCTTGCCCATGGCAGGGGGGTTGGAAGTAGATGATCTTAAGGTCCTTTCCAACTCGAACTGTTCTATGATATTAAAGAAATATTAGAGTAAGCCAGCAAATCTTCCAAAAATGTTTATATATTTTCATTGGAATTTTCTTTGATATAGCTATGGATTCAACATGCAATCTAGTGTCTTTAAAAAGAAATAATTTTCAGTGAAAGATGTGACAGAAACTACCAGTAAGTTAATTTATTTTTTGTTTTGTTATTTTTGTGGGGTTTTTTGTTTTTTTTTTTACAAAATAATCAATCAAAACCATACATATAAAGAGTAAAAATCTAATTCTTTGACCTGTTTAACAAGATAAAAATTGTAACTTTCTACAGGGCTCCTTCATAAGAAAGAATCCCATCTCCTCTCATGCAGTTCCTCAGAAACCAGGCTGTGTAAAATTCCACAACATATACATATACATATATATATATATAAAATCTTAAAAGCATATTTCCTACAGATGTAGCCTAGAAAATGTCAGCATCATTGGCAGATATACTATTAGGCCTGGATTTATACTACAGTAGGACTGGATTCATAGATCCCTAAAATAAGAGAAAAAATGTTAATAGGAACATACCATGCAATGTGCATTCCATTTTGCACATTTTAGGGCCTGATATCAATGAGTCCTTGCAAATTACAGTAAAACTATTCTCTTACCCTTTTCTTGTAGAGGTGCTCTCTCCACCTGCAATATGCATATTTATCTGTTACTTTTAAGATATCAGTCCTATGTTACCTTTGGAGTAGAAATTATACTTAAATGAGAATTAGCAAGTGGGAAAATACTCAAAACTCTGATCTGGTCCCTTTTAAAGATATCAGAAAATTAATTATTTTCACTGATAACAATGGGGCATTAAATCTGTAACTAATTCCATATATGTAAAAACTGTAAGGATTAGAAGTGTAGAAGGATGTTGTAGAATAAATCAAAATCACAGCAAATTCTGCAAGGTTGCTGAACTGAGGCACTCTAGGCAATCAGGATATGAAAATTAAATCAATTTATGGGAGGAGAAACCATGCTTACCCTCTAAATATTAATTACTCTAGTACAGTGGCACCTGGATGATTCAACCCCTTTGTCCATGGAACTATACACACACATATAAAAAGAAGGCTCTTGACCCAAAGAATAAATACATTAACCACTTTCTTTTTGCTTAGATTTTAAATACTCAAAAGACCAAAGAGTCATCAATGTCTTTATTGGGTACAGGTTCACAGAGAACAGTGATTTATATATTTATAATTAAGCATCTATACAAGTGGGCTTAAATCTAGGTTTATTTCAGCTAGGTCACATTGTACCTCTCTAATCTTCTCCATAATGAAAGTGTGAAAATTGCAAATAAATAATTGCTGCAATGAGACTACAGCAATTAGTAAGGTTTATAACTTTTATTTATGTTTAGCTTTTCAGAAAGACTATCATGATACAAGAAATGAAGCAACGGAGAAAGTGTTCCAAAGGTTAATTTATCTCCCTTTTAAATCTTTTTTCTATCATCAGCAGAATTAGGCTTGATACCCAATTGCCCCCAAGTGACCTTCACTTGCAAAGTCTTTAAGTCATAAATTGAATTTTTTTCATGTAGCTATTGTTTACAGCCCGTATCTTGCTCACCTGTGCAATATTCAGCATCTGGTACAATGAGATCTTAGTAAAGCTCACATCCCGCAAGGAATATGTAAATAGGAAACTTGAAATGATCTCTAGTGTAGTCTGCCATACCATATAGCAGTGATTGAGGCCACAATGCTGCCTCCTCACCTGTCCATTTCTTTCGTGTGACTTCTTACAGAGTCCATAATTCCATAGACGCTTCTATTACAGTGACGTGTGCCGCTGCTTCTGCCTAAAGTGCCATAACTACCTGTCCATTTCATTTGCTAATCTTGCCTTATTTTTCTTATCCTGAACAGTGATAATTGTGCTGCCTAGAACAGATCTATGCTAGTGGAGACCTACTAAAATCATTGGAGACAAGCTAGTATACAGAGCAGTTGGGATCTTCCGTCTTTAATCAGTCACATAGTGAAAACTAACAGATTTTAAGCTCCATAAGAAAGCTCTAATATCCTGGTACCACAAGGTCAGCTTAGTAGGCCTCTCTTTTTAAAAGTCTGATGAATTTCTTAAGCTGTCTTCTGGTATGCTTCAGGCCTATGAATCAAATAGCTGAGGAAGGCTCATAAAAATGAGTAAACAAACATAAAAGGCTGGCCCTGAGTGCTATTGTATTTCAGAGCTGTCCCACTGCTCTTGTTAAGGGCTGCTACAGACATATACAAAGAATCAGATGAATAATGCTGGAGCCATCTACCTACAGCACAGAAACACGATCTTTTCTGTTCAAATGTGTTTGAAATTTGTTAGAACTGGAAAAAAGATTACTCTAGCCTTAAAAGGGCATGATCTCACCCTCACTGCCTTTTTTTTTTGATACAGGACTGGGAAGTGAAAAAAGCCTAAACCCCTATTCAGCCTTGCTGGTTTAATAACTTTAACATATTATTTTTGATGAAGATGAAAAACTGAAACTTGTAAAAACTGATCCTAAAAAGAAAAAAGCGGTTTTAGCTAACAAGGGGGGCCAGAAAACTATGGGAGACAGCTTAATGCCTCAACATCAGTTAACAATACAAAAGTCTGAAGTCTTTAACTCATTAATTAGAGAGGGTTTGGCTCCAGCTCTTTATTTTGGCTTTTCATTTTTGTTTGTTTATTTTTCCTTTCCCAAAGGAAATCTGGACTGTAGATGATTACTTTGAAAACAAAGCAATACACAACTCTGGCAGAGAGATTCTCTTCAAAAGAGATCATTTGAGGAATAAAACATGCTTTAAATTAACAATCACTTGCAACAGTGACAGGCCTCAGGGTTTGGTGACACAGCTTCACATTAATTACTTGCTAGATAAATGGGATTGTGTGCAATATAACATGAGGATAAATATTAGGATAAGTAGTTTCAAGAGGTTAGGCTAAAAGAAAGCCCCTTTTTGACATCAACATTGAGAAATCTGAGGAGGTTAAACACAAAGTTGAAACATATACATACTCACAGAGTATTCTTTTCTAATTAGCATGAACCTCTGGGTATGGATCTGCTCACAGTAGTATGCTAGAGATAAGATAGCTGTTAATGTCCAAAACTAAATAAGAGGCATTTTACTCTATTAAGAAGGATTTTTACATTTGAAGTAACAACACTAGTTGATTACTAATTTACAGTAGGCTTAGTTGTGCTAAATTTTCCAAGAACTACAATCCAATTTCAAGTTATTCTCCATGGGGATTGGACCTAAACTAGTGAACCATTATTGATCAAACAGCATCTTTACGGACCATGAACACTCTGTTCAATCTTTTCTGGAAGCCTGGTTGATAGTTTAGAAAATGTTTGATAAGATATGCTGTGAGCTAGAACTATGTTACTTGGGAGAACTCTGGTGGGACACCTCAAACGATCTTTCTGAAGCACTCTGCTAACTAGCTGCACATAGGTGTGTGCCTATAGCAAATTTGATTTGTTAGAAGAAGCAGCAGGATTTCAAATTATCTCTGTGATCAAGATTGAGAAATGAAAAAGTTTTCCCTTTAGATACTGTATCAGCCTCTGACAATCCATGGCCTAATTATGTTATCACCTTCAGTAATGCATCTAGCTAGTCAAAACTGTCTTATATTATTGTCTGGTCTTAATAAATCCATAGCAGTTTTACAAGGGGAAAATAGGCTTTTCTGAGATCAGGATCCCTGCCTTTACAGCAGACTGGTAATCTAGTCTGAATATGCTTGCCAGAGGCCTGCACTTACTGTACTTCCTGGAAATTCCTCCTCAAATGAAAAGCTCTTTCAGTACTTAAAGTACAGCCTTCTATTAAAATCTGCATTTTTCAATGTCATGTTTTATTTTAGTTTTCTAGCTGAGTTTGTTTTGGACAACAGGTAAACCAATGCATTCCGTGGATTAAGAAAAAGCATTTAGGGAGTGAGGTGATAGTACATGGGACCTATACTACTATCTGTGGCATGAAAAAGATATAAAATCACAGCTGAAGAAAAATCACGGTTGTTCCACACTACACTGAATGTGTTATATTTGCTCAGGCCATCACTCCTTTTCCTTTTTTTCTTTCTTTTCTGCTGTGTTCTCAGAGTGAACTTGCACTAACTTGTACAAACCTCTATGAAATTCCAAACCTTGCCACCGCTTTCTGTGAGACCAGAGTTGGGGTGGGGGGTGTTAAACCAGGTTTGCCAGAAAATAGAAACACGAAACAGTTCAAACTCTTACCTCAGCAATAAAAGCCGATCCTAGAAGATTTCATATACAAGAGAGAGATGAAGCAGGCACCAACCAGTTGAAAAACATTCCCTTCAAGACAGCGACTGTTTTGCTTTGCAAAATCTAAGTGGACACTCCCAGAAAACTGTGACGCAGAGATGTCCCCATAACCACACAATTCTGTATGAAAGAAAACAGATGAAGGGACCGTCATGAGAAAGCTCCGAGATCAAGAGCTAGATACCAATCGTGCATCATAAAGCCTCATAGAAAGGAGGATTAAAAAAGCAGTGCAAGATTACATACATGTAAGACATATGTTTAGCTTCCAAGCTCCCACAAGCTGATTAGATCCAGTGTTCTCAGGCAGGCATTAGGTGAGATAAATCCTCCACACTGTGCATAACTCCCTCTGAAAAGTCTTATCCTAGTCTTGGAAATCTTGGGATTTCCAAGGACAGCTCTGAAGAAAATAAACAAATAAATAAATCCCAGAAAAATGATAGTCCATCTCCTACTGGATTTTTCTTCTGTCAAACTAAGGCAGTGTTCCAAAACGAGGACAAAAATAAACTTTCCCTGACTATGGCGGAGGAGTGCTCTGACTTCTATGGATTTTTAGAATTAGCTAATGGGTTCAAGGAAAAATTAATATAGTGTTCCAAACCCTTCAGATGACCTGTGCCAAATATAGCAGCTGGCATTAATAGAGTAAATTACATGATTATATTAAAGATGAATGGCACAGGTTTACAAAAATAAATATCCAACACTGTTTAGAATTCCAATCAGCTACAGCAGCAGCAGACCTAACAGATAAAAATGAACATAGTATTAAAGTGTAGAAATGAAAATCATAGTCTCCGTTTACCTTCTCGTCGTGACTAGGATACATACTTCATGAACATATAACAAAGTTGATGGCATTTTCTCAGGGCTTTCACAAAGAAGTCCCTACCACTGCAGTATTTTAGGCACCTACTGACACCTTATCACCTGGGAAAAGAGTATATTGGGGGACTAGATGACCTTTGAAGATCTCTTCCAACCCAAACTATTCTATAATCCTATTATATTGAGATCAAGACAAAGGTATCATTTATCTCACTGGAAACTAGAATTCTGTCTACAAAAACCTTGATGCTTTGCTCTGTGGTAAATGAAAACAAAACCTCTCAGTGGGGGTTGGAGAATGGAAAGGTGAACAGAATTTCTCAGAATTGGCAGTAGCCCAATGGTTATAGCATTTGCCATGGATAGTTGGGTTTTTTTCTGAAGTAAACATCTGAAGCTGCATTTCCATGCCCCTGTGAGAATACTTCAATCTATGCTACTGGCTATTCTGATCACTGATCTCTCCTGCTTCAGAGGATATTTTTCTACAGAGGATATTTTTCTACAAAATATTCAAACATTGATGTGGAGGGGAAGCAAAAGCTTCCTGGAAAGTTTTTCAGCAAGTTCTAGTTATGATTCTGCAGCCTTCCTGTAATGGTGTACTTGTATTGGCAGTAATAGGATTACCTGAATCATTACAGGTTGCAGGAGCTCTTACTCGGCAGCTACAGCAAATGAAGAAAATTATTTTCAGAGTATTTGGTTTATAACAGAAGGGCTTAATTATAGTTCCAATGAGGCTAAGCTGCACAAATCACGGTGATCAACATTAGCTGCAGAAAACAATAATGCAGTACATCCAAGAGGTACTGAAAACAGCACTGCGGGCCACAGTATAATAACAAATGTAAGCAGCTTTCTTGTACAGGCTCTGAAAAGGAGACAGGAGACATTATTTTCTTACCCTGTCTAAGGATGATTGGAAAGCAAAAGCATTCTAATGTGTTTGCAATGCATCACGCAGTGTAGTCTAACACTGTTTCACATGGCATCACACCATCTACTGAGTGCTATTACAGCACTAAAGCCTAAACCTATGAAAATCCTTAGGGCACTAAAGAATCAAATCCAAAACTTGGAAATCTTGCTTCTATTATGGATGAGGCTGTGGGAGAGGGAAAAGTTGTTAATTGCTGCCAATTGAAGACATTACTTTAAACTTGCATAAATACAATAGGGGGCTGAATCTGAATTCACGCTCTCAGTCTGAAGTGCAATTATTTTTTTAAGTGTACAGAATATGCTGCTCAAGTAAGCCTATTTAATACCCTGGTTCTAAGAATCTTCCTTTACTATCAGACCTATTAAAATCAGTAGTCAATCGAGTGAATATGATGATCCAAAGAACCATAGGGCTGATCTAAGCTCTTGAAGGATAAATTTTGCCTAAAGCTAGTGACCATGAGAGATTGATCTTTATTTAAGACAGCAGTTGTACTTAAGCAACTGACCAATGGCCAGACTAATAAATAGAATCTTGAACATATATATACATATATACAGGCATATATTTTTCAGGGTTGTTTACTCAGCTATTTATTATATTTGAAACAATGTAAGTATCAATATGGAGAAGTAAATAAGGACATGAACCTGCACAGATCTGAAGACGGTTATAAACCCTGTTAAGTCCATCTGAAAATAAGAAATTGAGATTAACTGTACTGAATACAAGTCTGGATTTGTATTTGCAAACCTAAGACAGGCTGCCACACAAATCAATTGGAACAGAAATAAGCCTTGTGCAGAACTGTTGGGCAGAATTCTCTATTGTTTCAAGTATTTTTTGTCTCCAGAAGAGCTTACTCTCAGAGGCAAATCCTGAAGCATCCAAGCAGCCTGCCAAGGCAGTGATAAGAAATGCAGCGGGGAAGACTCCTTTCTTTACCCAGTCCACAAGACATCTGCAGAGCTGATGCACTGCAACCTCTGGAGTCCTCTGGAGTCTGCTTACTCTAAACACCTAATACATAACCAAGAGTCTGGGCCTTACACTTCCCTTCTGTTCCACCTATTTTGGTTGGTTTGTATCAGTGAAAATCTTTCACAGGAGATTTTCCTGTAGCACAATCCATGCAATACAATGCCGTTTTTTTCTCTCACAGATCTTCCCTTTGTGCACACATTTGAAGAAATGCCATTCAGCTATTCCTGTATGCACGGTTAAGTGCAAGAATAGTATTTCCTGTCCTGTCCCTGCCAGTGAAGCACACATGCAAAGCTGTCAACAGAGCATGCAACAACAATTCTACATGAATTAAAGGAAATGGAAGAGGAATCTTACACAAGCTACTAGAGATTCTAACAACTATTAATAACGGTAAGTATTTAAGGTGACACTGTGGCCCAAGGTACTTTACACAACATTTTGCATTAGGCGAGTTGAAAGCTAGCCTGTGTTTTAACTATTTTGATATTGGGATTCCAAACACTGCTCACCAAAAATAAGGCATTCGTGTCTGTCTAGCTCAGAGAGACCACCAGATAATCATTCTGGACCGCATCTTTCTAATCTGATCCTCTTGTTGAGAAGATAATTCAGCAAGGTTAGGCACCCTATCCAGTTTTTGCAGTGATTCTTGCATTTCAGGGGATGAAATACATGGCCGGGCAGTATGCAATGATTTTCCCATCCCATCCCAAATAGCAGTCTCTTTTCAGTTATGACACCCTGATACTTTTTAACAAGTGCAAATTGTGTGACTGAGAAGTTCTTGGGCATCAGAACTCTGATTTAATTTTAGTGGATCAGGTGATCAAAGGCAATTATTTGACACAAAAAATACTGTATTAAAAACAAGTTTCCTGAAAATCACTTCCATTTTTCACTTTATTTCATACCCCATCTGCTTCTGATGACTTAATTTCTGCAACTCAGGATCTGGAGATATCTATAAAAGAATCTATAGCAGTTCAAGATTGTAAAACCTAATTCTACAGAATAAAAATACAGACAAATTGAATTCACATTGGTAATGGTAATTACACAATTGAATTGATATATATTTATAGAAGCAGGCTCCGGAAAGTCCCAGCTGAAGCAATACTGACAGCAGCCAAGATACCCTTTATAACTGTGAGCTGCCTTTTCCTTGTCAGTTCCAAGTCTCCCAGCACTGTCTTCAGGGTATGGCAATCACCTGTTTCCAAAAGATGCTGAGGAGTAGTGCATAATTCTAGACATATGAGAAACATTTTTGTGGCTACATTTTCAGTTTTATTGTTTGCAGTAGAGATTACTATCCAAATTAAAATGGCACAAGACAACCAGTAATTGATCATTCTCCAAAAAGAATTACTTCTATTTGAGAATTTTGGTCACTAGACACACACATGCTGCATGCCACAGAAGACCCAGGTCTCCTACAGGAAGTATCTATTGTGCTTCAGTGACCTTTCACAGTGGCGACGCTGTCTTCTTTTATAAAAGGGAAAAGGGTCATTCAACTATTCACTTCAGTTTCCTTTTCTGTACAAATGAATTTGAAGCAGCTGCAAGATGGGATGGTCTAATCAAAGTAGGGAGCTTATGCCTTTGGTTATCAAGAGTATCACTGATCTCTGGATACTGCAAAAATTTAGCAGCTGTTCCATTCATGAAAATGAAGCTGGCACTTTATCCTTAAGGATCTTGTATCACATTTCAGAGAAGATGCATGCTTTATAGTCTTTCAAGGAGATTTTTCCAGATACCCTGTTTACTGTCTCCCTTAACTTAGAATACTGAAAACACACAAATGTCTTTTGGGAAAGGATAAATACATTTCTCCTCACATGTTTCTTCATCTCTACCTCACTTCATTTAATCAGACTAAGGCTATAGCACTTACAGAATGGCCTACTTCTAGTAGTGTTGCTGTTACAGCAGTTATGGTGAGGAAATATTATAAGCTACGTCTACATCAGGAGACTGGGGCTACTGCACAACTAATCTGTTTAGAAAGGAAACCCAAATCATATCAGAGTTTAATAAGCTTTGACTGCCTTGCAGTTTGGATAACCGTGACAACAGGACTCTGAAATGACATGCAGTTCTTTACTCTGGATTCTTGAATTAGCTTTCAAGTAAGGCAACAAAAAGATGGAAAACTTGCATTTAACACATTATAACATTTAGTAGAACATAGCAGCTGTATTAAACATCCTACAACCCCCACTCTAGAACCCTACCTTTAAGAAAGCAGTGAAAAGAAAGGAGAAAGTGCCCTTGGTCTTTGATGCATGTTCTCTTCCTTACACAATAACTATGACCAATTCATACATCACTCTTCTGTATATCTTGCCACACCAGGGCTTGGTCTAAGCCTTGTTTCACTTTTTAATAACATACTTAATGTCAGCATCAGGTGTAAGCAACAGCAAGAATAAACTAGCATTGTATTTCTGCTCCTGCATGTTAGAGTTTCCTGAGATTAGCACTGTATCATTCCTAGAAGACACAGCCATATTCAATAGTATTATGTTTAACTATTCTCATGAATTCTGGTCTTTCTAATCTTCTTCAGTGCTCTTGACTTCCATCTAATAAATCATTTTAGACAGGTTTAGCCTTCATGCTCAC